CTCTTGCTCTTCCTTTTATCCACCCTTCGCCATGTCTCCTCTCTGATTCATGGTCTTCTTTGGCTTTTCAATGATGTCCTTTGCAGTTTTCCTGTACACGTTCGCCATTTTGTCAAATCCCTCCTCCACATCTTCTGAAACCTGTTCTTGAACTATGTAGCTAACTTGAATCTTCTGATCCCATCACTGTCTAAATTTTTCAAAACAAATCACTCAATTTCGTTTTTCTTCAATCTGTTCTTTGTTAGTTAGGACATAGTCAATGTACATATCTGCTCCCCTCATACCACGATTTCATGATCACTTGATTGATCTGATTAAGCGGTCGGTCATCTGGTGATTCCCATGTTGTTTTATGGATCTCTGTGTTTGGAAATATAATATTGTTCTAATTACAATAATTCTATTTGTACTAGAGAGGACACAAAGCCGTTTCCTATTGTCATTCAGACTTCCCACTCCGTTTACTTCTTTGCTGTTGTTATCTTTTTCCACTTTGGCATTTAAGTCTCCATTACAACTATTATGCCATGCTGGTGGCACTCTGTAAATTAACTGCATTTGGTTGGAAAAGTTCTTTCCATCACCATCTGCCTCATTTGTTGATGCATAGTCTTGAACGATTGTAAGTTTTTTATGCTTAAAGAAGAGTCGTGCCTTTATAATTCTTTTGTTTACTGATGTCCAATCTAGCAGTAGTACCTTTTTTGCTCTTTCTTTAATCATTATTGTCATCGTTCCTTGCTGCAAGTCATCATCTCTGACATACAGAACGCTCTTCAGTCTGCAGGATTTTTTTTGTTCCCATTCCAGAGACCTTTCCATTTACTCTCATATATTCTCAGAATTTCAGTCTTATATGTCCTCATCTCTCTTGGCACCTATGTAGTTCTAGATTTGTCTACCATTGTGCTTACACTCTAACAGCCAAAGATTGTCTGCTGCTCTGCAACTTCCATCGGTGGCTTGTAGTAATATGAAAAGGAGAGTGAGTGTGTAAGCCTCTATATCTTCTCCACAGTTCAATGTAGTGCTTCCCCGTGACATCACAAAGCTCCATCTAAATACAAGGGCGAAGGGTAAAATGGACTCTTTAGCTTAAATTGTCAGTAGCTCGTTACGTATCGTAAAGATGGTAAACTCTGATTATGTAATGCTCGGTTTGGTGGTTAACCGTTCGTCACTTCGAAAACAGAGTCACCGGAAGTAAGAAATTGAGACAAAATTACTTTTTTTAAGAAACAAATATAAATACTGTAAGGGTAATAAAAGGGGTAAAATAATCAAAATGGAACAATATATGAGGGGTGATCAAAAAGTTCGCGAACTACTGGTATCTCTACATTTACAAAACCACAATTCAGATCAGAATGAAATTTGGCACACGTATAGCCATACAAAAGTTCTATAAATAGCATGTGTTATATAATGTTTTGCTCCATGTTTGTGACGTCACAATGTAAAAATGAAGTCAATATGTAGGTGACTTATGACAACAAATGGTTGACTCAGTCGTACTCGAGCAACGAACGGCTGTAAAGTTTAACGTGTATCTCGGAAATTCCTTTGCAGTAGAATATAATAATTTGTACAAGGTTTATGAAGACAAAAGACTTATCAAAAGTTCAATCATTAATTGGATTGATTGTTTGAGTGAAGGCAGGGAGATGGTTAAAAATGATGTTTGTTCTGTTGCCCAGCGAAAGCAAGACGGAAAAAAAAATTTGTCCTTAGTTGAGCAATTTGTTTCGAAAGATCGTCATGTTAAAATTAGAAAATTAGTTGAATATCTGAACAATGTTTAAGGAGGGATTCTTCTCTTATTCTACTCATATTTCTTGTATTTAAAAATTAATGAAATTTTCATAGATTCAAGAAGACAATATCACTAAGTGATGGTATCAATTAGATTAAATTTGACCGTTTTATTCTAGAAACAAGGTCAGGTCAAGGTCATTATCTTTTTCCTTGACATTTAGAGTATAAATTTACTGATGCTAATCGTGTGATGCCTACTTCTATTTTAAAAGATAAAATGCTTTCCTTTTTGCACGAAAAGATGTTACCATATCGGTTCTATCAGATGATTCTACCAAATTAATTGACATTATTTAACTTAAATAGATATTGGCTAATCCGGATTTCCTCTGTTTTTCTTATTTTTTTTAGGATATATTAGTTATTTTTATATACTTCTTATATTTAAATATTTCTTATTTTTACATATGGTAGAGTAGTCATATAAATATACAAAATGATACAAAAACAAAAAGCTTTGACCGTTTAGTAAGAGAGAAAAAACACTTTTTACTGATTTTTTGCTCAAATCTGTTTAAGGTTGGAGGATTTCAAAAGCTAACAAGATTGTAGTTTGTTTAGAAAATCATTTTTATTTGCTATGTTTTAAAACTTTAGAGCATTTTTTTATGATTTGAGTTACATATCAAAATTTCTTCAAGTCTTTGATTGTTTAAAAAAAATTAACCACATGTAATGTTCTGTAAGTGATTTTGATAGGCAGAAAAGGAGATATTTTCATACGCCGCAGTTGCGCCAAAAATATAGTCCCTTATGGATTTCAAACTCAGTTTACCATTTCTATTTAAAATTGTACAATTATGATGAGTAAAGAAAAATATTATCTTTTAAATACATTACAGCTAAGTTTATAAGACATACAAGCAAATATACTTGGAATATTTCGTCTAGTCAGAAATCAGACAAGAATCCCTCCTTAATTATCAAATCCCTAAAATATCGTTTACTTTAGACTTTAAACATATTTATATGAGAAAAGAAGGTGCCCATACTTTTTCCACATTGGATAAACGACGCTCCCGAGACAGAGGACTCAGGTTTAATTCAATTAGTTCGCGAACTTTTTGATCACCCCTCGTATGGTGTAACTGTTAAAACTTTGACTGAATTTAAAAAAAAACAAACAAACAAACAAAAACAAAAACAAAACAAAAAACAAAAAAAAAATGATATATATAATTATTTTTTTAATGGGCATTTCGTGGTTATAATGGTACGCGACACCTATTTTAAAAGCGAACATATAAGTTTTAGCAATCGTTATTTACCAGTTTTTATGAAAGGAACAGATACATGTATACATATAACCACAAAACACACGTTCACTATCATCCAATGGTTTGAAAACTTTAAAAAAAAAAAAAATCACTTTTCAGGATTTTTTTCGGGGGGGGGGGGGGGGGGGGGGCGGAGGTCCACCCCAGTCGAAATAAATTTCCAACCCAGAAAATTTCCTGACAAGCAAAAAATCCAAAAAAAAAGGGTTAAATCCCATTCCAAAACGTTAAAAAACCTTTTTCATGATGGTGTTGGTGGGGTCCACGTTTTCCGGGGGGGGGGGGGGGGTCCAAAGTCATTTTTGATTTGCTTAAGTATATACTTTAAATAACTCTGCAACTCTCCCTCTAGATGACTTGATAAAAATAAGTTTTGCCGTAAAAGGTCATCTTAAAATGCATTTGCTTATTATGTCTCTGTTCCGTGGTAGGAAATATGAAGGCAAAAGTTTGCAGGAATAGCATAAAAATGATAGATCTTTCCCAAGAGTAAAATCATATACATCCAAAACACGACATACTAAAATAGAAAGCTGGAAATAAGTGAATGTCCATAAAATTAATATATTTCATTTAAAAAAAAAATCCAAAATAAAGTTGTCACATTGCATTAAATAGAGACATATAATGGTCTACTGGAGAAAACGAATGACAAGGAAACGTTTTGGGAGTTCGTCTCTCTAGAGAGACTGATCACAGGGAGGGACCTCATTGATCCTCCAGGTTGGGGTTCATGCTAGAATATATGAAATTGACTATGGGAGAGCCGCGCTGCGGGTACTTACATGAAGCAGTTCGGTCAAACCTAAACAATGAATAACAGTTTAAATGAAACGAATAATTTCATGTACAATTTAGCAAGTTGAAAATTATAAAAATAGAACCAATCTTAGATTTGATTCCGGAAGCTGACTAGCTTGTTAACCCGAAAGGAAATATTAGACTGTAAAAGGTTTGAAACTATTATATCTTTATGAAACTATATTAGAAATGCAGTTTTTATTGTGATATCGAAGAGTCAAGAACTTCGTGTCGTTTACAAATTACAGGAGGGATTTTGAGTTTATTTCGAATTTCCTCAGTTTCATTGTTCATATTAGCTGATTAGATGCTAGTTAGAATATTCTAACTGTGTCTCGGGACAGGCCCTCACCACAGTTAGAATACGTCCCATATACTTGCAATGTAGCAAATCGGAGTGGATCCACTCCGAAATGATTCTGAAGAATACAAAATGAGTTGCACTGAAAATAACTACCAAATTAATCATTACAAACCTTTTTGAGATTGTATATGCCTTTTAACCTAAAAATTAATCCATATATATACGAAAATTCAACTCATTTTCTCTACGTTTTTTCCTCGCTTCAAATTTAACGCCATGTTGACATTCGGAACTCTCTGGATTGTTCATAGAAAATGCACAGAGTTCGAGTTATCGCCCGCGAATACACGGAACGAATTCTATCGTTAAACCGGGTCCGTAGGACAATATCATTTTAACGATAGAACATTCTATCTAATTAGATGCTAGACAAAAGCATTTTAACCAAATTGACTTACATATAATTGAAACACACAATTTGTCATGGGGCAACCAAGCTTAGTTCACTGAAATAATCAAATTAATTTATGCATTTATAGTTGTACTCAAATTTGCATGTCATTTTAAATGTTAGAGAGTAAATCAGCAGATAATATGATTTGGGGAATTCAGATAATTTATTGAATTCGTGTATTGCGTTACTGAGTGATATGAATTTTCTAAGCATGCATTTTATTTTTTGATCATTTTTCCATACAAATTCAGATAATACTTAGGAGAGGAATTTGTATTGTAATTATAAAAAAAATGTTTCCAATCTCTTGTGGAATGTCTATAATTAAAAAAATTTTTCAGACAATTTGTTTATAACCAGAGAAGAAAGAATATTAAAAGGTGTTTTTCTATTACATCAGAATATGGAATCATCAAACTCTGAAGGTTAGTTATATTTACATGACTGTAGTTTAGCAATTAATTTATATAACATTAGATAATAACAATGACAAACTAATAGATTTACAGTGCGACGGGGGGGGGGGGGGGGTGAGTGCAGTTTTGTATTAATTACTGATTACCTATTTACTTTTAACTTAGATGCGCCTCTTCAATTTACTGGATGAGACATTAATTAGGAAGGTCTAGACTGTGGCATGACATAGTATTTTAATTGCATTTCCATAACAAAGTCATTCCATAGGCAATTAATTCTTCAGTTTGGTACAGGGATGGGGTAATTGAAAAAAGTAATTGTAATTGACTGTAATTAATTACATTTTTTGAAGTAATTGGAAGTAATTTGTAATTGAACATTTTTTCAATTACTTGTAATTGTAATTTAATTAATTACACTGAAAAAATACCATGTAATTTCAATTACTTTTTCAATTACATTCAATTACTTTACATAATACACATTCATGATGTATTCATGATGTATCGTCACCACTATCTCCCCATTTTACTGGTTTTTATTTTATTGTTAAACATATCCTCAATCCTTCAATTATACAAAATCTAAGGTTAATGCTTACAAAAAAATAATTGAATGATTGGCTTGATAATAATATTAAACTGGTTTCTTTCTAATCATTATGTAAATTTTGAATTTTTTTATCTATGTTTATAAATATGAATTTTGAACCACCCTTCTTAGGTCTATTCAGCTATGAAACACACATTTATTATATTTCAAACTTTGTTGTTTGATCAATAATAAAGAAAAAGAAGGTGTGTGTCATTAATTAAGTTCTCTCTTATTGGGAAGAGATAATTGCCCTCCAGATCACAGCTGTAAATTGCAATCAAAACAAATCAACCCCTCTAAAGAGATATTCATTCCATGATTTAGAAGACAAAGCCAATGGAGATAATTATTTCAATTTAAAATGCTCCGCTAGCTTTAGAAAAGAACTGAACTGAATTTATTGATCTCTTCACAATTTTACAATTGTATAGCGAGATATAAATGTAAACTACAATGATGAAAAATAAAAACACATATATGGCATGCGTGAGTATGAGGATAGACAAATAGTACAATTATAGGTTGAGGTCTTTACTAGTTTGGGGAGCACGTTTTAGTAATTTTTTTAATAAATATACACAGTTTTCTTAAAAATGACTGTTTATCTGAATTCATTATTTCTCTAAATGTAATTGTATTTTTTAATCGTAATTGTTTTTGTGTTAAACATTTATTTCTTTCACGTGTCATTGCCGTACAATTTAATATGTAATGGAATTCATCTCCTATTTCATTTAATTGACATTTCTTACATAGTCTAATCTCTCTTGGTTCATTTAACCAACGTCCAGTTTCAATTGGCAAATAATGATTACAAGTTCGGAATTTGCAGAAATTTATGGCTTCTTTTCGCGATAGAATTTCTAAATATTTTTCAAATTTTAGTTCGTCTTTGTATATTCTATAATTTAGGGTCTTTGATAAATTTTGAACATCCGAATTCCATTTTTGTTTAAATTGATCTATTAAAGTTAGTTTTACTTTCGCTCTTAACCAATTTGGATTGAAGGCTTGACTGTTCCAAATATTTGAAAGTCCACAATCGTTTAAGATATTTAAGACATTATTTATCCAAGCAATCTTCTTAGTCTTTTGATTTACGGTATCACTTAATTTAAACAGCAGACTTGATATTTTTGTTTCTTTTCCAAGTTTAAGTTTACACCAATAGGAAATAATACGCGTTTGTATTTCAATGGACATGGGATGTCGACCGAGTTCACCATACACCATACAGTCCGGAGTAGATTGTTTAAGGTTAAGAAGTAATTTACAAAATTTTAGATGTACTCTGTCTACAATTGCATTGTTCGAAAATCCCCATACTTCACATCCGTACAACAATATAGGCTGAACAATTTTATCGAACAGATCTAACTGACATCGTATTGATAGATTATGTAAGCGGCCTTTCTTAAGAATTTCAAATATTGCTTTATTTGCTTTGTCAACTTGTTTCTGCTTTGCTTCCTTGAAAGAACCTGACGTACTAAATAAAATACCCAAATAATTAATTTCATTTACAACTTCAATCAACTGTTCGCCGTATTTAAACTCAGGCTTTTCTTTTTTCTTTCCTTTACTTATTATCAAAACTTTTGTTTTGTTAATATTAATCTTCAAATTCCATTTTCTGCAATATTTTTCAAAACAATTAATTTTTGCTTGTAAGTGCTCGGCAGATTCAGCTATCAATACGGTGTCATCGGCATATAATAGTGCAAATAATGTCAAATACACATTTAAATGTTGTTCAAACATAACAGATATAGTAGGTAAACCAATTGACATATTTTGTTGGAAAAAATTCTGCAGGTCATTTAGATAAATTGAAAATAAAAAAGATGACAAGTTTTCACCTTGTCTGACACCATTTTCACAATTAAAAAAATCAGTAACGTTATTATCATAGACTATCCTTGATTTGATTTGATTATACATATTCGTAATAACATTGTACATATTTCCATTAATATTGTTTGCACACAATTTAAACCAAAGAGCTTTTCGCCATACATTATCAAATGCTTTCTCGAAGTCTATGAAAGCACAAAAAAGTTTTTTCTTATTTAGTTTCAATAGTTCTGATATAATATGTATGGAAAATATATGATCAACAGTTGAATATTGTTTTCTAAAACCAGTTTGATTTTCCTGCAATATTTCATATTCGTTTGAAAAATCGTTTAATCTATCATTTAATATGGATGTAAAAAGTTTTCCAATACAGCTTAAAATTGTTATAGGTCTATAATTTTGCGGATTGTTTTTCTCTCCCTTGTTTTTATATATTGGAAGGATATTTCCTTCAAGCCAACATTCGGGTAGTTTAGCTGTTGAAAAAGCTAAATTAAACAATTTTTCGTAAAGTGGCAGCATAATTTGTATTGATGATTTTATATATTCATTTCTTATTTTATCCTCGCCTGAAGCTTTGTTGTTTTTTAATTTTTTTACAGCACTAAGTATTTCATCTTGCGAAATGTATTTGTTTAGATTATGTTTCAATTCTTCTATTTCTAGTATTTTAATTTCATTATCTAGCATCTTTTCTATATTTTCTGGTATTTCAGGTGCCTTATTTAACTCATTGAAATAGTTAAATAATTTTTCAATATCGATTTGATCTGCATTGTTTTGTTTATTGTTTTTATTCAATATCTTCCAATATTGTCTGGGAGTTTTGAGTCGCATATTTTGTAACTTTTTACTCATTTCTTCACTATACTTGTTTATTTCTCTGTCTAACACTTTTTTATAAGCCTTTTCTTTGTTTTTATAATTTTCTTTAGCATTTTGCGAACGTTTCCTGAAATAATAAACTTTGCTATTTCGGTATTTTTTTCTCGCTTTGTGACAAGCTGTAGAAAACCATGGCTTATTATTTTTATGAATGCTTTTAGTCGTTTTATTTTTGTTCACTTTAATTACTCCTAAAGCTTGTTTAGCTGCATTAATATAATTTTTATTTAGTTCATTTACAATATTGTTGACAATTTCCTCTGGGTTTTCACTGGAATTTATTGCTTGGTCTATGTCTGATATCATTTCTTCGACGCGATTTTTGTTGATAGCTTGAATAAAAGTATTTTCTTTCTCCGGATCCCATGGCTTTATCATTTCTAGATCAGTTGTAGAAACATTTGTTTTCATTTCGTTTATTAATTCGTGTTTATTTATACTTAAAACAAGGGGATTATGTACGTCGGAGTACAGTGAACTATGCTCCAAAACTTGCATGTTTTCTATATGATTCCAAAAGCCGTAGTTACATATAAAATAATCTACAGTACTTGTGCTTTTACATGTTGGTTTTCCATTTATATTATCTCCAATTCGACCATTTACTATTAATAAATTGTTTGTCTTACAAAATTCTAATAACAATTTGCCATAGCAGTTTTGTATTTTATCAACATTATTACGCTCTACATGTTCTGATGTTAAATTAAATTCACTTTGTGATTCTTCAAAAATATCATTAAATTTGTCTGTGGTTTCGTATACAACAGGATGGATTTCAGATCCTGTTCCGGTCCTGGCATTAAAATCACCTGTTAAAATTAAGTGTTTGTCATTTTTTAACATGTTTTGTAGTTCAATTTCTAATAAACTAAATGCATCTTTACTGCTATATTTGGAGTTTTCTGGGGGAATATACACGTTTCCAATTAAAATATTTTTATTTGTTTTTGAAATTTTTGTTGATAGTTCAAACCAAAGAACAAAATCGTTATCATTTTTGTGAATTACAATATTTTTACTGAATTCTTTCCTGTATGCCAATGCAATTCCCCCAGAACACTTTTTGCCTTGTTTACTTCTGTTTTTCAAATAAATTTCAAAACCATCTAAATAAAGTGTGTCTAAATCGTCAGTTTTAGTTTCCTGAAAACATAGTATGTCATAATTTTCAATAAAGTTTTGGAATTCTGGATATTTTAGTTTTTGTTTGATGCCGCAACAGTTCAAAGATAGGATCTTTAGTTTGCCACAGACGGATAGTTCTCACAAGTGTCAACATGGTCCCCTGCGTGCCCCTATTTCCATTCCGGTGATGATGCTACACGCCTTCTTTTGAAACCCTGGGCCCCCGGAGTTCGAACTGTCCCGTGTTTGTCTTGCACAGATCCTGTGGTAGCTTCCATCTCTGCTTCGGTCGGATCGTATGGATGCCCATTAACATATAAAATATCTCTCACTAACTTCACTCGTTCGCCATTCTGTCGCAGTTCTTTCATTACAGGGTATAGAGTTTTCCTGGCTTGTTCTATTTCATCTGGGTATTGCCTATTTATTTGGAAAGGTTTGTTTTTCAGTTTATACGCTGACTTCATGATAAAGTCCAATTCCCGTTGGTATATGAACTTTGCTACTATAGGTCGTGGCTTATTCCTGTGTTTCCTTCCAAATCGGTGTACATTGGCAATTTCTATGTAATCTGTGATTCTGAGTTGTTGGAAGAAAAACTCTCTCAGCACCTCCTCGGTGTTTTCGCCTTCGACCTCCATTATGCCTGTGAAAATTAGATTGTACTTCATTGAACGGCATCTCAGGTCTGTGATTTGTTCCGAAAGAAGTTCGTTTTTCTCTGTGATTTCTCTTACTTCTTTTTCTTTTTCAAATCTGTATTTACTGAAATCGTTTTCAATTTCTTCTATGCGAGACTTCATGTCTAGTAATTGCTTACTGGAATTCGACACATCTTCTTTTACGCCATCAAATATATTGCTTAACCCTTGGAGACTTTCTTGGAAATCATTGGATGTTTTGTTCATTTCGTGGAGTTCTCCTTCTATGTTCTGTACTTTTGCCGATAAACTCATGAATTTTTCGAACATTTCATCAACTCTTTGTAGTTTACTTTCTATGTTCGAAATTTTTTGTTCAAAATTTGTGTTTATTTGATTAAATCTTAGGTTCATAGTATTCCCCATGGATTTCATCAGGTTGTACAACTTTTCTATAGTGACTTCTCCACTTTCATTTTGCTCTTGTAGTGTATCGCCATATAGTACCGACCTACATTCACCAATAATGTTCGACGTGTCCGACGCCATGTTTGTTTATACTGTTCACTCATGCATCACAGATTCACCTAACTTTTACCTGTGCTATTTATAGGACGGAATGGTAATCGTGTCTTCGTGCCTTTTATTGTTCACCGAATTGTTCAATTTTAGATCAGAAATACTAAAATAATACACAATATTTCGGCATTTAACTGCTCTATACTGTTTGTAAACACCTTAAATACCTTCTTTACGTATGTCCTGACTGTATTAATGCCCTTTTTTGGATGAAATCTTAAATTTTTTTCTCTCTGAAATGAGGCGGTGTTTCTCCAAACTCAAGCATGCGCCCCGTTCACTTTCAATTTGATAATTATTTTAACATCTAAACAGATTTTTATGAATGAATTTTCTATCTGTACAATTCTGATTTATTAAGTAAAATTGTACAACATAAATAGCAATTTAGGATGTTCAGGTTACCTTCAAAGGAAATATTTAATTTGAGGGGTTACAGTTGTGACTCATTTCACTCTATTAAAATACTCACTTTTAATTAAATATCATAAGCCATGCAATTTGTGTAGATGTAGGTTTTGTGTGGTGGAAACTGCATCAAACTGATCTCGGATAGTTCTTTAAGAGTTTCTTTAATGTTTTATAAATAAATGTTATAAATTAAACCAGAATGATACACAATGCCTATAGCATATTATTTCTTGTACTGTTTGTGCAGAGGCTGAGCTTATATACAAATAAATGATGTTCTATATATTCATTGACAAGGATTATGAAAATTTTCAAAAAAATTAAAAATTTAATTTTTAATTTAAATAATTACTTTTGCAAAGTAATTGTAATTTAATTAATTACATGTCTTAGAACGCCTGTAATTTAATTGTAATATAATTGAAGAAAAAGTCAAAGTAATTGTAATTTAATTATTTACTTTATAAAGTAATTGACCCCATCCCTGGTTTGGTAATTTTATTTTATGGATCATGATTTCTACCAACTTTTATAAATTTTCAGTATATAATCTTTGACAGTTTTATGTTCAAAATCAACGTTGCTTTTCATTTTCTGACTTTCCAAGGTATGGCAAATGTACATTTGTGTCATATTTGTTCAGATTTACCCATAATTCAAAGTAATAAGCATCACAATTGCTCAGTTACATGTACTTGGTATAGTAAAGAAGTAAAAATCAAGTAAGAGTAAGGTTTCGCAATTTACCTTTAACAGGCCAGACAAAAAGGAACGGGGGGGGGGGGGGGCTAATAGAAATAAAAGCAAATTAAAAGAAAAAAGAGAGCACTAGATGTTATTTTTGTTTTCTATTGTATAGTATACTGGCAAAATTATTGAGAGGCACAGCTGTAAAATTAGCTGTTTTCTAATGTAATGTACATGTACTGGCAAAATTATTGGGGTAGAGGGGGAGGTGGCATATTACCCCTCTAAAGGAAAGTATTGAAACAGTTAATTCACATTAAAATGTTTATACATGCATTAATACCAGGCTGGGTTGTCCCTTAGAATTAAAATAGCAGGAGACATTAAAAAAGTAGAAGTGGGTCTGGGGTTCCTAACCTAAGTGGGGAATACCAGAGTATCCGGGGATTACTTCCATTATAGGAGGGGAAATTCCCCAGCCCCCTGGTCTTAGGGACAACCCTGCAGAGTTTGAGGAAGAATCACTGACCACTTGTCCCAAGTATGTAATCGTCCCTATGATGATTATGCCAATCCCATATAAAGTTCATTTTTTATTTACCAAATAATGATAAATGAGATTTTACTATTTAAGTGAATTTTTCATATTTCTTTATCCTATAAATTGTATTTGCTATTCACACAATATTCATTCAGTATTCATTCATTATTCATTCAGAGTCTAAGTCTCTTGTTCAATCAAGCCCCGCTGCCATATAACATACTTAACAAGGCCGAGTCTAATTTGAGTGCGCTTGACTTTGCGCAGCTTTTTAGTTTCATGCAGTCGTAGGTGCAACATAACACCTATCCTAAGTATTGTAATTTTAATACAAAATTAACATTACATTATCTGTAATGTTTATGGGTCTTAAAAATGTGCTGTTAAGACAATTATTAGGAATAAAGGCTGAATTGGTTTTCACGGCGTCACTGTTTTCCGGTCCTGTAGGCAATGCATGACGCTGAAGAATGACGCATGACTCGCTAGAGTATTCTGGAAATTTTATTAAAACTGTTGACAGAACATCAAAAGAAACACACCAGCAATCTATTAAACATTGTTATTTTTTACCAAAATAATTCATCTGCGCAGATATATACAAAATGTATACCACAATATGGCAAATTTAGAGGTATTTGGCATTGGAAAAAAATAAACTATGTAATATTTCCTAGACCAAACCAGATGGTCAACTTTTTTGAAATTTCACAAATTGGTGACTTTTTACAATAACTTTCATGTACTTGTCTGAAAAGGAAATCCCTAGGGCAGAAATACAAAAAATATGGGGGAAATGTGATAATTTGGTGCTTTTCCAACAAATTCCCATAGGGTCCAATAGTAAAATATGACAACATTTGAGTTGGCCCCCAAAGAAATGGGAATGGTAAACATATGATTTTTAGCTCACCTCAACGAAGTTGGGGGAGCTTATGTAATACCCTCAGCGTCGATGTCGGCTTCAGCGTCCCAGGTTAAAGTGTTTGGAGCAATTGTCTTTCAAGTACTTCTATGCCCTATATTAATCAGAGATGCATGGAGGATGCTTCTAGTGTTTCATTGTACCAGTCAGTGTTTCAGATGCTGCAATTTCAGCTAAAGAATGACCAGGTTAATGTTTTTGGAGCAGATTAAAGTTTTTAAAGCAGGTTAAAGTTTTTGGAGCAGATCTCATTTCCAAGTAACTATAAGCCCTATATTGACCAAACTTGCATGGATGATACATCTAAGTATGCAGACTACTGGACTTGCTTCCAATGCTGGATCTGACCTACATTTTCCAGATGAGTGACCAGGTTAAAGTTTTTGGAGCAGATCTCATTTCTAAGTAACTATAGGGACTATCTGAACCAAACTTGCATAGATGATGCATCAAGGGATGAACACTCTCAAATTTATATGCTTCAGATGCTGGATTTGACTTACATTTTCTGAATGAGTGACTAGTTTAAAGTTTTTAGATAAGTCCATTCCCATGTAACTGCAAGGCCTATCAGACCAAAATTGCATAAATATTGCATCTAGGGATGCACACTACTAGATTATTACTATAGTGTGGGACTTTGCCTTAATTAAAAACAACATTCGTTGAGGTGAGCTCTGTAATCTCTGATTACCTATGTTTTTTATCTTAAAATAATTAATATAATAGTAAAAATTCATTCAAGAAATTTATCAAAATATCTAGGGTAGATATAATTAGACTCTGCCTTGTTAAGTCTTAATATCACTGCAAAAATTTTACTTGTTGCCAGGGAGAAGCAGATCATGATGTCCACTCATACTCAGTCAATTTTCACTCATCCTGAATGGGTGGATGAGTGTTTTTTTTCACATACTATGATATATAATCTAAATGGTTATAGCTCTTTGTATATGAAACTTCATTAGAAAATTGTAATTTTTTAATACAAATACCATGGTTGAATTTTATTTTCAGGTTCTTTTAAAAAGGGTATGAAATTAACCTTGATCAAAACTGAAATAAAAAACAAGTATGTAGTGGAGGCATATGAAAGATTAAAGGAACACAAAAGTTTGAAGCAGCTTCTTTTCTCATGTCTTTGTGGAATGGGAAAGTTTACATCATACTTCATCAACGAAGAAAATGTTTTCAAAGGAGTAATGGATGTGATGAAAATTGTTCAAAAATTACAAAATGAAAAAGAAAAATTTCATGGACATGTTACAGTGCCAGAACTTGACAGATTTATGAATTCATACTTTCAATTTTGGATTGAAGAGGAAGATAGAAGCAAACCCAGAGTTAAAATTGCTAAGTCTACTATTGTCAATAAAAAATCAGAGGGAAAAGATGCAGAACAGTTTATGAACTTACATTCAAATAAGGGACAGAATGAAATGCTTAAAAGAGAACCATTGTTTCCTGGGGTTTTGTGTAAAAAATCTGCTGATAATAGAAAACCACATGTAAAACTAATCCCAGTACTAAGGAATAGGCCAAAAAATTCTGCTGTCTCTCGTTGCAGGGAAAATACAGGTAGCTATGATGAAACATTAGAGAATGAACAGATTAAAATTGCTGGACTTGATTTGCCAGAACTGCAGTCAAGAAAAATAAGAAATAGTTATGTGTTGGAGACATTTCGCTTTAAAAATGGAGATTCATCAAAAATCTATAACTGCCTTTGTGAATGGGAAGGCATAACTCCAGAGGTGGTCCATTTAGAAAATTTTGCTGCTGCAGTGAAAAATACAATAAGAAAGGCAGACAAATTGAGAAGAACTAAAAGTAATCTGTATGATTCTTTCTTGATGGAGTTTTTCAAATTTCCTCTTGTTGAAAGAAAGAAAGAGAGTAGGAAGATGGAGGCAAAAGAGAAAGAAAAAACAGAGGAGAAAAATAAAAGGACATCAACTGAAACACAAACACAAATTAATGATAAAGTGAAAAAACGAAAGAGGAAAATAAATCATGACACAACTGCCGTGAAGAGACAAAAAAATAATAAGGAAGGAACCATGAAACAGAAGGTGAAAAACTCAAAAATAAAAAAGGCTGATGAAAAAAAATCTGATATAAGGAGTGCTCGAAAATGCAGGACAAAACCAAAGAATTCTGACCTGGTGAAGAAAAGAAATTGTGTACAAAAAAGGAAATGGAAGAGAATAGATGTGTTGGAATTGCAACTGAAAATGAAATTACAGCACCAAACAAAACTTCATCAAAAAATTAAAAGACAGAATAATCTACTTGTTAGACAAAGGAAACATATTCGTGTGCTTAAACAGAAACTGGCAGGTGCTTGCTCAGGTGGTATTTGTAAAGGAGTACAGTGTTCATTAATTTCTGCAACTCCACAGACTCTCTTAGTTAGAGTAATGAAACCATGATGGGAGAACAAAGATTTTGGTTAGTCTTTTTCAAGAAAGAAAGACATTGACAAAAATTAAGTAAGAAAGAATCAGAATTGTTTATTATATATACATTATATATACATTTAGATAGAGAATGTTTTACTGCCATGTAAAAGTAAACATCTAAATAAGTATTTATTTTAAAGTTGTAATAAAAAAAGATGTTTTACTTAAGTATATTAACCTTTTGAACTGATTTTTCAATTTATGGAACAAAGATTTGTGTTAAGAATGCAACATAATGAATTCTCAAGTTATCTCGGACTTTTTAATCAGTATGTGTATGGATGTGCATAATAACAAGAAATGTTTGAGAAGCATATAATAATACCCCCCCCCCCCCCATCTTCTTGTGACAATCAGTAGGGGTCATTTTCTTCCAAGGGGGAACCAATGTACCAAGTTTGATACCTGCCAAAATATTGAGCAGACAATATCTTCATATATCTGGAGTAGTTTGTCTTTGTGACCTCTAAATCTTTTTTGGTCAACTACTCTTTAGTGGAAAGCAGTTTGCCAAGTTTGATGTCTCTCAAGATGTTGAGCAGTCAGTGTATTCCTATGTCCAGTTTGACACTTGACATTTAACCTAGTACTTGACATTTAACCTAGTGACCTCAAAATGTATAGTATTCATCTACTCCTCAATGGGAACCAGTGTCTCAAGTTTGATGTCTGTCAAGCAAAGGGTTCTCAAGATACTGAGCAGTCAATATACTGTGTCCAGTTTGACCCTTAACCTTTGGCTTGGTGACTTCAATATCTACAGTGGTCATCTACTCAATTGGAAACAGTGTACTAAGTTTGATGTCTGTCTAGTAAAGGGTTCTCAAACTATCTTTCTATGTTCAGTTGGTCTTTGACCATGTGACCCTGTAAAATCAATAGCTATAGGGGTCATTTACTCCTTAAGGGAACCAATTACCAAGTTTGATGTGTATCAAGCAAATGGTTCAGGGTAGTTTGACCTTTGACATTAAATCAGTAGGGTCACCTATTGTCAGGAGGTACCCATGTACCAAATTTGGACAAGGTATGGTAATGGCCAAATCTCGCCCCTTATTTGATGTAAAAATCAGAACACAGTTAAAATTGTGATAGTTTGTAAAGAACTTAAGATGATGCTTGAATTAAAACGAGTTCTAATTTTGATTCAAAGTTTACAGGGAGGGCACAAGAGGGTGCAAAAGTAGGACATTTTCCCGAATTTCCTCAATTTCTGTGGAATTTTGTCAAATTTGCGATACTTTTCACTTCGGGAAACATAGAGCACAAGCTTGCCTATCTGAGATTTTTATACAAAAGATGCATCTGATATTAGTGTATGAAATATATAAATTTGGTAGATAGGCAAACGTGTGCTCTATTTTTTCTGAAACAAAATGTGCTCTAAAATCGATGAAAATTTGTATAAAAATGAGAAAATTCGGAAATTGACATATTTTCTGACCTTCCTGTGACCTCTGTGTATCCCATAACTTAGAACCAATACTCATTTTGTGACAGGGGTGACAACAGGTTTTTATTGATAAACTGTTGCATCATTCTAAAAGACACCCCGAACCATGGGCCAAAAAGAGGTCTTAGCCTATCTTGTCCTTTGATGTCTGTCAAGCAAAGGGTTCTCAAGATGTTCAGCAGACTACACTTGCTCTACCGACATAATTACCAACAGTCACAAGTGCAAAGCAATTTGCCCTCTTTTTCAAGGGTGGGGAGCATAAAAATGTCCTTATTCTATTTTTAATTTTTCTTTTTTGTGCATTTTTCTCCTTTTCAATTAATCATACAGGTAGAATCCCATTTTGTTACATAGCTCCTTACCCACCAAAGGGAGGTGGTAAGATACGTTTATGCAATTTGAAATAATCACCGAGAATTAGGGCTGTATCTTTATATCGATACATATCAATATTCATGAATGTATCATATCGAAAAAATAACTTCCAATACGTATCAGGCAGTATGGAAAGCCGTAGGGTATGGAAAGTATGGAAACGTGATAATTGTAATTTTTGCGGGAAAATATAATAATGCTGTTAAAAAAAAAAATTATATTTATTTTTTTTATTATTATTATTAATTTGTGGTACAATTATAAATATATAGGAATAATAATAATGTGGAGGTACCCAAATTATTATTGTTGCAGAAAAATAATAATGTTGTAAAAAAGCAAGATTTTTATTTTTGGATGAGATAATTATTTTTGGTAAACTTATATAGGAAAAAATAATAATAATGTGGGGGTACCCTACTGCTTTCCATAAGGAGGTAACACATCTTGGATAATTATTACAAAATACATAGACAACTTTATTTAACATGTTGATTTTATATACAGTCGTTAAAAGTTTGAATTTGAAGTGTAATTTGTAATGACAGTGAGACAAGAACTTTAAAATGAGTTGCAAAACAATAGGTTTTTATAAGATTCATGCTTTAAATGATATATAAGACTTTTTTGATAGACTTGTTAAAGAATCCAATATATCGTATTATAAAATATCGTATTGTATCGTATTGAAATTTTTGGCTCAATTCACAGCCCTACCGAGATTTATTTCAATACAATTTAAATTCTGGCATTGTCCCTGCCCAATTAATTTTAATTAATAAAAATAGTTCCAAAATTTATGAAAAGCAACGTTTAACATGTGTAAAATAAATTTTTCTTTCTTTATAAGCTACATCTGCATGGAATACCTTTTAGTATACATTCTTTATAAAATAATTCCTTTTTTGAGGCTCACATAGTCAGTAATTGATTTTTGAGGGTTGTGGGGGTAGGCGAAATAACTAAAAAGTTAGAACAAGTAAGAGGATTGAAAACAAAAAAATGCAGATGGAGAAAGAAAAGAATTCAGTTGACCTTTCATCATTTATATTAAATTAATAGGGGTTCTCTTTAGCTATAGAGATTCATACCTTAAGTTTCATTGCAAAAGCCCAAACAAAACTTATGATCTAAAAACTACTTTATGCAATATATGAATTTCTGACCTTGGCCTCTGACCCTTATAATTCAAAATCAGCAGGGGTATTCCTTAAGTCAAATTGATTTATGATATTAGAATTCATGACAAAAGCTCAAAGATAACTAATCTTATCATCTAAATTCCATTTTAATCTACATATTTCTGACCTTGACCTTAAAACAAATAGGGTCTTTTGAAGACATAAGGAGTTACGTACGATTTAGAATTCTATTGCATTTAACATTCAGAATTTTATCATCTGGAAAACATTTAGCAACGTGTGAATTGATGACTTTGATGTTTAACCTCAAATCCAAGAAGGGTCTTCTTGAAGTGATAAGGAGTTAAGCAGGGTTGTCCCTAAGATTTCAAATTGCATTTAGGTACATTTAAAAAGTAGAAGGGGGTCTAGGGTTCCTTCTTTAATTCTTAAACTAATTAAGGGACGAAGGGTCATACCAGAATAACCGGGGAATTATGTCATTATAGGTGGGGAATTCTCCGGGTCTTAGGGACAACACAGAGTTAACATATAAAATCTCTGCAAAAACTCAAAAAAAATTAAAGCTATCGTCTGGAAACCTTTAAAGCAACATAATTTCTGATCTTAAATTTGACCTTTGACCTCAAAATCAATAGAGTTTTCATTAGCTGCAGAACTGTATCTTATGGTTTTATATTTTTGTCTTAGTTATGATCAGAGACTAAAATACAAATGTATAAAACATAAGGCTACAGTTAAGCAGATAGGTTTTCATTATTTTTTTTTATGCCCCGGGATCGAAAGATCCCAGGGGTATATTGTTTTTGTCCTGTCTGTCTGTTTGTTTGTCTGTCTGTCTGTTGTCAACTTTAACCTTGCCCATTACTTTTGACTGGTTGGAGCTATGACGTTCATATTTCACATGTGTATTCCTTGTGCCAAGACCTTTCTTTGGGTACCATCATATTTGACCTTTTGACCTTGGAGTTTGACCCACTTTTGCAAAATTTTATGAGACTTTAACCTTGGCCATAACTTCTAAACAGTTGGTGCTTGGGGTTTCAAACTTCACATGTGTATTCTTTGTGACAAAGCTTCCTTTGGATACCAACCACTTTGACCTTTTGACCTTGACCTTGGAGTTTGACCTACTTTTGAAAAAACTTTAACCTTGGCCATAACTTTTGAATGGTTGATGCTAGGGCTTTCATACTTAAGATATGTAATCCTTGTGACATCACCTTTTTTGGATACCAACCACTTTGACCTTTTGACCTTGACCTAGGAGTTTGACCTTCTTTTGAAAAACTTTAACCTTGGCCATAACTTTTGAATGGTTGATGCTAGGGCTTTCATACTTAACATATGTAATCCTTGTGACAAGACCTTCCTTTGGATACCAACCACTTGACCTTGACATTTTACTTACTTTTAAAAATCTTTAACCTTCGCCATAGCTTTTGAACAGTTGCAGCTAGGTCTTTCAAATTTCACAGGTATATTCCTCGGGACAAGACCTTTCTTTGGGTACCAACATTTTTAATCTTTTGGCCTGGATTTTGACTTGCATTTGAGAAACTTTAACCTTCGCCATAAGCTGCCATACGGGGGCATCAGTGTTTCACAAACACATCTTGTTTTATTTTTTTTTAAAAGATATTTCATCCTGAAACGTAAACTGTAAAATGTTACATATAGATAAAACATGTAAAATGACAGACGACCCACTGGAAGATGAAAATAATATCCCACGCTTTTCGTGAAGGCGAGGGACAAAAAAAATAATATAATAAAGAAGTCATATCGCCAAAATAGTAAAATTTAATGAACTTCAGTAGAACAGGAAGAAGCCAGAGGCAATGTACATGTCACTTGTCTTAAATGTTACTCACAAAAAGTCTCTAAGCCAAAAAGATCATGAATACAGAGGTTGATGGCTTTATCTTTTGCTTGTTTGTTTGTTGTTTTTTATGCCCCCGTAATCGAAAATTTGGGAGCATATAGTTTTTGCCCTGTCCGTCCGTCTGTGTGTCTGTTTGTCCGCAAAAACTTTAACCTTGCCCATAACTTTTGATTGTGTAGAGCTATGGCTTTCATATTTAACAAGTATATTCCTTGTAATAAGACCTTTCTTTGGGTACCATCATGTTTGACCTTTTGACCTTGACCTTGGTGTTTGACCCAGTTTTGCAAAATTTTACCCACCATTAACCTTGGCCATAACTTTTGAACAGTTGGTGCTACGGCTTTCATACTTCACGTATGTAATCCTTGTGAAAAGACCTTCCTTTGGATACCATGAACTTTGACCCTTTGACCTTGACCTTGGAGTTTGACCTTCTTTTGGAAAACTTTAACCTTGGCCATAACTTTTGAACAATTGGTACTAGGGCTTTCATACTTCACATATGTAATCCTTGTGACAAGACCAACAACTTTGACCCTTTGACCTTGACCTTGGAGTTTGACCTTCTTTTGGAAAACTTTAACCTTGGCCATAACTTTTGAACAGTTGGTGCTAGGGCTTTCATACTTCACATATGTAATCCTTGTGAAAAGACCAACAACTTTGACCCTTTGACCTTGACCTTGGAGTTTGACCTTCTTTTGAAAACTTTAACCTTGGCCATAACTTTTGAACAGTTGGTGCTAGGGCTTTCATACTTCACATATGTAATCCTTGCGACAAGACCAACAACTTTGACCCTTTGACCTTGACCTTGGAGTTTGACCTTCTTTTGGAAAACTTTAATCTTGGCCATAACTTTTGAACAGTTGGTGCTAGGGCTTTCATACTTCATATATGTAATCCTTGTGACAAGACCTTACTTTGGATACCAACAACTTTGGCCTTTTGACCTTGACCTTGGAGTTTGACCTACTTTTGAAAAACTTTAACCTTGGTCATAACTTTTGAATGGTTGGTGCTAGGGCTTTCATATTTCACATGTGTATTTCTTGTGAGGAGGCCTTTCCTTAGGCACCATTAATTTTGACCATTTCAGCATGACCTTGATGTTTGACTCACTTTTGAAAAACTTTAACCTTTTCCATACCTTTTCAATGGTTGCTGCTAGCTATAGGGCTTTCATATTTCACAGGTATATTTTTCGAGACAAGATCACAGGTACTTGGGTCTTGGTTTATAAATATGTATGTACCTTATTGATATGTAAAAAAGGTACTTTTTTACATATCAATAAGGTACATACATATTTGTAAACCAAGACCCAAGTACCTGTGGACAAGATCTTACTTTGGGTACCAACATATTTGATTTGCATATGAGAAAGTTTAACCTTCGCTATAAGTTGCCATACGGGGGCATCAGTGTTTCACAAACACATCTTGTTTTTTGCTTTTTTTTTTTTTTTTTGGTTTGTTTTTGGGTTGTTGTTTTTTTGGTCGAATTCGTTGGTGTACAATTTATTCAATTTATTTGATCGAAAAGTACTTCCGGTGTAAACAACTTCGCGATGGACAAATTCGTTGTGAGGAAAAAAAGAGACAACACAGTTGATAAACCTTCAGGACAAGAGAAAAGGGGCCTGAAACAAACAACAATTGATTCTTTAAAGGTGAATATTGATAAAAACAAAATTTCGAGACATAGAAATATGTTACGAAAAACAAATGTAATGCTATAACGTTAGTAAATACGTCCCGGGCAATATATTGGGTTGGGACCACTCACCCAAATGCATCCTCGCAAGCCAGGGGTCCTGAGTCAACACGTTGCCGTTGTTCAACGACAACGTGTTGACTCAGGACCTCTGGCTTGCGAGGATGACCCAAATGGGACATAATACAGCCCTTATTATTATAAATTCATAGTGATAACAGATATGCATCACCAATTTTGATTGGTAAATTAAAATCAATTAAGCTGGGGAGTGCCTTTGTGCCAAAATGAAAATTAAAAAATTATTAAAATCGCATCAACAACTTTTTTCTGACTATATTTTTTGAAAGAAGGATCCCTTAGAAATTTTCACTTCTGAATCTTCTGTGGGATCAATTTCATAAACAGTAGGGATACATTAATTTACCATTAAGAAGAGCCTTTTATACACTGCACTAGGACTGTATCAATACGTGTCAAGAATGCGCGTGGTTTCACCCCAATGAGGTATGAATTGCCGATCTATACTAATTAATAATTATTTCCATTTTCACGACAGATCTATGATAAAAACTTTTCTTTTAAAAATCACGAACACAGGGGAAAAGTAACTTAATTCATCTGTTTTAAAATATGTAGAATATATGTCCAGTTTAAGCATTTCAATTTTATTCCAACAATCTCCATCTTTTTTTCAAAGTTTGATCTAAGTAGATTTACTTCATTAAAAACGTAATCAAATAGGTGTGCCATGTAGATCGCTTTAAATATATATACAATAAAAATCTTTTCCATAGCACATACACAAAAACCACAAACATAAACATTGAAGATTTGTCATAGCAAACTGCTGAAATACACATGTGGAAAAATTTAACACCTTTTAATTACAGGTAGCTGATATATAATCAGGGTGAAACCACTCAGAGCGAACATGTAATGAGGGTGAACCTACCCGTTACTTTTTCAATATTCAGGAATGTACCGTATCGAAAAAACAACTTTCAGTATGTATCGGACAGGCTGTTTTCATAAAATTCTGTGAAAAGTTGGGAATTTCAATCACCAAAGATTATATTTAACTGTTTTGAATTAAAATTGATCAATAATGATGTAATCATGAAGGAAGTAGCAAATCTGAGATAATCATTACAAAAAACATAGACAACTTTATTTAACATGTTGATTTTACAGTTCGTTAAAACTTGAAGTGAAATCTGTAATGACAGTGAGACAAGAACTTTGAAATGAGTTGAAAAACAATTGATTTATAAAATTCATGCATTATTAATGGTTTATACATGTAAGAAATGGTTTATACATGTAAGACTTTTTTGATAGACTTGTTAAAGAATCCAATATATCGCATTATAAAATATCATATTGAATTATGCCAAAAAGTTTTGCTCAGTACACAGCCCTACACTGCACACTAAAGAGTTATGATTTTATGGTATTTTTATGGAGACAGAGTGATCTGCTCCTTGATCTAGAATAAAATAAATTGAAATGTACTGCTGTACTGCATTGCTTAATTTGTTATCAATCACTTCTTTTGCATGTATTTTGCCCAATTAAGTAAACAACAGTGATTTCTGTTCATCAGTATTTCATTGTCTTTGAACATTTTTCCTGGAGGTAAATGCAAGGTACCCTATATTAAAAATGTAAAAGATATGAAGCTCAATGTATACATCTTTACACATTATAATTTTCTCAATGTCGAAAAAAATTTTCCTTTAGTGTATAGAGGGTCCTTAATTACTTCTGTAACAGGAAAGGAGAAAATGTATGGCTGGACCAGGAATTGAACTCGGGACCCCTGCATCATTAGTCAGGTGCTCTACCAACTGAGCTACTCTGGCCGATACCCACGGCCCAAACCATTACATTCCTCCCTCTTAAATTGTGTTCACCCTCAAAAATACAACCCAAGTTCTTATTAGCCCCTGGCAGGACTGTCACCTGCAAGTCCAGGTGTGCAATGGTCAATGGCACCAAATCTGTAACAGGAAAGGAGAAAATGTATGGCTGGACCGGGAATCGTACCTGGACCCCTGCATCACTAATCAGGTGCTCTACCAACTGAGCTACCCAGGCCGATATCCACGCCCCAAATCATTACATTTCTTTTATCTTTTTTGTGTTCACCTCATTTCCTGATTTTAATGCTTATCAGAATGTAAAAAGTTTATAATCAAAGTTCACTGAGATGAAGTTTCAATTTTTTTACCTTTTTAAACTTGAAGCCATGATGATGAACTTTTCTTGTTCTTTTTCATATTCTTTTATGCTGATTTGTTAATAAAATTTATTTAATTATAGTACAGGGTATTGCTCATGTTGATATGTTTAAATGATAATTGATTACAATTCTTTATTAAATTCAAAACTGATTAAATCAGTATTTGAAAAGGAGATCTATTAAATCTTTAATGGGTGAAATTTAAAATGTACACATGATAAACTTTCAGGGAGTAGTAGTTGTTGAAGAGATCAAGAGAGCCAAGGCCATTTTAAAGCAGCCAACCACAACAGTAAATCAGATGATAGAGTGCTTATTAGGTCTTGAGAAGAAGATACCATCAAGAAAGGTGTTAATGGAGACCAAAATAGGTAAAATCAAAAAGAATGAGCAGCTACATGTATTGCTTCACAAAATTATGTAATTAAAGGTGTTTCACATAAAGAGCAAACTGCAAAAGGTCTGATGAATTTATTTTGTGGCTAATTAGTTTTATTAATCCAATATGCTAATGTTTCCTGGAAAAAATGAAATGAGGCTATTGGTTTAACCACCTTAAATTAAATTTTCCTAAACATGTAGTGTACTGGAAGGAAATGCAGTATATATATGTCATATACCGGTATGTGTTTCTAATATTTTCTATACCAGCTAAATCTAACTAGAAATAATTGTTTTTCTTCACTCTAAATAAAACTTTGAACTTTGAAAATGTTATTTATCTTAGGTATTAAATTTTCAAAACTGAAATCTAATGGCAGCAAAGAAATAAATTTTTGTCAAAAGTTACAAAGATAAAATGTATTGAGATATGGACAACAAATCAAAAGGAGTAGGTTGATACTAGATATATGTATTTACCTGTCCAGTGGTATCAAGTCGTTATACATAACCATGTAAACATGCACATATTTGAAAGTAAAGGATCATTTGTAAAACATAGTATTTGAGAAACATATTGATAATTATAAATAGTAAACTATTCAAATAACCACATTATTAGAAAATAATTACACTTAAAAATTATAAAATATTCAAATAACCACATTATTAGAAATTTTATTGATGATATAAAATATATATATATTTTTTTCTAGATGATTTGATCATTCCTTGCTTGTGCAAACAGGTTACAATGATAATAAAAATTCTTTTCTTTAGTACCATTTACTTGTTATATGCATTTGCTTCATTAAAAGTAGATAACATATGACATGATGGTTGATATCTCTTCACCATTTTTCAGGAAATGTGATTAATAAGTTGAGAAAACATGAAAATGAAGAAGTACGCCAACATGCAAGGCAAGTGTATGTCAAATGGAAGACTCACTTTGTGGAGCACCGAGACAGACCTCAAATAGAGGTGCAGTGTGATCTCAGGACAGAGAAAACTCGGAAAGCTGGAAGAAAGTTCATATCAGAAGCATTAGAGGTATTTCTACATATACAATTATTATTAAATTGCATGAGGTCAATAATTATTTAGCTAATGCTACTTGAGATGGAAATATATATTGAACCTTAGGTATGTGGATGACAAAAATTCAGATGAATTGATACCATGGTGATAGTCAAGACTGATTTTATTTTCTTAATTTTTTTGTTATGTGTTTATTATTAGTAAATAAGATTGTACTCTTATTTTAGCTGCAAGCTGAAGGGGGGCTGCCAGAAATCATTGAAAGAGAGGTGTTCTTTATGAACAACAGATTTCTTAGTGGTCAGTACAAAAAGACTATGAGGAATATTTGGTTCAAACTTAAGAATGACCAAGCAATTAAGGATCAAGTGTTGAATTCATCACTGACTGTGAAGGAACTTATTCAAATTAGCACACCAGGAGGAATTCCATCTTGACCCCCCCCCCCCCCTATGTTCAAAACTGGTTGATCATTTATTACATATTTACTAAATGTTGACATATTCTAAATATTATTAATGTACAAACATGTGTACATAATTTTCTTTTGCTATTTCATTTTAATTTTATTTGAATATTTTTCATTGTAATATGTCAGTTTGTCTTGACAGGAATATTGTTTGGGTGATATTGCTAAGGAATTAAACTTTCCTCATTTCAGCCCCCCTCTGCTTTTAGATCCCATTTTCAGAAACACTGTTATTAAAAGATGTTTTTACCTTTATATATGACTACAGACTCAGATTTTGCTATTTTGTCAAATAGAATGTGTTTTAAGGAAGCTCTAGACACTGCTCACTGAAGAGTTCTAATCCCAAGGTAGTTTTATGCAGTTAGAGTAATCTGCCTTTTGGTGTACAATGGCATTAATAGAAATCTACAGTAAATGACACATTTTGTAATGCATGAAGATGAAAGTATTCTTAACATTATATTAGACCAAGATAAAGTAACTAAAAACTTAAATTGCACATATTTTCCTAAAGTAAGTAAACAAATTTTAAAGTGAATTCTGTTCATGAATACTTCATTGTGTTTGACATTTTTCTTGGAGAAATATGGCTGCAGGTACTGTGTTGAAAATAAACTCAATATGTTCCCCTTTATATGATCAAAGTCCAAAAAACATTTTTAGGTCACCTGAGTAAACTCAGGTGAATTATTGCTATCTGTTTTCGTCCGTCGTCGTGCGTAGTCCATTGTGCGTTAACTTTTGAACATTTTCAACTTCTTCTCCAAAACCACTTAACCAATATCAACCAATTTTGGCATATAGCATCTATGGGTAAAGGGGAACAAAAAATTGTGAATTTCATGGTCCCCCTCCCCCCGCCCCTGGGGCCAGAGGGGTGGGGCTAAAACCACTCCTGGACACCAAGCAGTCAAACTGTTGGCATGATTGTAATAAGCATTGGGCCCTCTACCAAAATTTGAAATTCATGGCCCCAGGATCAGGGGTTCTGGTGCTAGGATGGGGTGATATAGATCATATACTATAATAGTGAAAGTGCATTATTTCTTTGAAAATCTTTTTCTGTTCTCCAGAGTATTATTTAAACAAACTAAGTGCATGGTTATGCTAAGCAATGATGCCTTTTCTAAAATTGTGAATTTCATGGCCCCTGGGTCAGGGGTTCTGGTGTTAGGGCAGGGCTCTATTGATTATATAGTGAAAATGCATTAATTCTTTGAAAATCATCTTCTCTTCTCCAGGGTATTATTTAAACAAACTAAGTGCAGGGTAATGAGAAGCAATGATGCCTTTTCTAAAATTGTGAATTTCATGGCCCCTGGGTCAGGGGTTCTGGTGTTAGGGCGGGGCTCTATTGATTATATAGTGAAAATGCATTAATTCTTTGAAAATCTTCTTCTCTGCTCCTGGGTAGTTTTTAAACAAACCAAGTACATGGTTATGATGCACAAGGATGCGTTTTCCAAAATTGTGAAATTCATGGCCCCTGGTCAGGGGTTCTGGTGTTAGGGTGGGGCTCTACTGATTATATAGTGAAAATGCATTAATTCTTTGAAAATCTTCTTCTCTGCTCCTGGGTAGTTTTTAAACAAACCAAGTACATGGTTATGATGCACAAGGATGCGTTTTCCAAAATTGTGAAATTCATGGCCCCTGGTCAGGGGTTCTGGTGTTAGGGTGGGGCTCTACTGATTATATAGTGAAAATGCATTAATTCTTTGAAAATCATCTTCTCTTCTCCAGGGTATTATTTAAACAAACTAAGTGCAGGGTAATGAGAAGCAATGATGCCTTTTCTAAAATTGTGAATTTCATGGCCCCTGGGTCAGGGGTTCTGGTGTTAGGGCGGGGCTCTATTGATTATATAGTGAAAATGCATTAATTCTTTGAAAATCTTCTTCTCTGCTCCTGGGTAGTTTTTAAACAAACCAAGTACATGGTTATGATGCACAAGGATGCGTTTTCCAAAATTGTGAAATTCATGGCCCCTGGTCAGGGGTTCTGGTGTTAGGGTGGGGCTCTACTGATTATATAGTGAAAATGCATTAATTCTTTGAAAATCTTCTTCTCTGCTCCTAGGTATTATTTAAAACAAACTAAGTGTGTGACTATGATAAGCAATGATGCCTTTCTAAAAATTGTGAAATTCATGGCCCCAGGGTAAGGGGGGGGGGGGGGAGGGGGGCTCTATTGATAATATAGTGAAAAAGCATAATTTCTTTGATAATATAGTGAAAATGCATTATTTCTATGAAATAATCCTGTCTGCCCCTTAGTGTTGAGCAGATAAACAAAGTGCATAGTTATGATAAACAATTGTGCTTCTTACAATTTTTTTTTAAAACTTGTGGTCCCAGGTTTTGGTGTTTCGCAGGGGGGGGGCTATATTGATAATAAAGTGAAAATGTGTTAATTCTTTGAAAATCTTCATCTAAGTGCATAATTATGAGGATGAGGGTACCTCTACCAAATTTGTGAATTTCATGGCCATGGGACATGGGTTTTAGTGTTAGGATAGGGCTGTGTTGAATCTGTAGTGAAAATGCATTATTTCTTTGAAAATATTCTCTGTTCCTTGGCAAATTGAAGGTAAACAGAATAAAGGTTTTAATAAGCAAGGATATTTTTTACCAGATTTTTGAACATCAGGACCATTTGGTCAAGTGTTCTGGTTGATGATTAATCACTGTAAATAATGTATTTGAAAGTCAATAGACTAAGATAATTATGCAAGAAATGATATTGTATAATACAAAAACTACTTTCATAGTTTTAATGATCAGGTAGACTTGTAAATAATAAATAAATCAGAATGAGACAAAAATAACTTATCTTATTAAATGGTCTTCAAAGACCAAGAGAGGCCAATGTGGGAGGTCTCAATATGGGATTAAAAGTGGCACAGAAGAACTAATACTGTAGATTCCTTATTTTACGCGAGTACTTATTATCGCGAAATGACCCAAGGGCGTCAAATCGCGAGAATAATAATTCGCGAATGTTTGATTTACCTAGAGATTTTACATACATTAAAGCACCATAAAAATAAAAGCGAGTAATTTTATTTCGCGAGCGGTGCTTCTCGCGTAATTACGCGATAATTTATTCCTCGCGTATATTTAGGAATCTACAGTAGTTTGTTAATTGTCTGCACTGCGATAGTGATAAATGGGAGATAGATTAAAATTTAGTAAGCTGTTACTGAATACTAGACTAATTATTTCATTGATCCTGATCATCCTATTTCTCTTGTTTTTGGGCAACAAAGTTTCATCTATCAGTTTATTTTATACTTTATGGATTGTTGTATTATACTCAGGTGACCGTTAAGGCCCTTGGGCCTCTTGTTCATTAAGTGTAAGAGCTTCCTTAAACATTTATGTCAATACTAGTATACTAACAACTGATTACACCTTAAGTTAGTACTTGATAAAACATTTCATAGAGAGAGGCATCAGATCAAATCTTTAATCATACCAATCATACCAAAAGCACTAGTAGATGGTAATGACTTTCTCTTTAACTTTGATCTCAGGATTCTTGTGACTTTACAATACAGTCATAGCATGAATGGTGTTGTAAACAATAATTATTGGTGTAAACTTTGCCTCATTCTTAATGGTACTCCAGAGAATTTTAAATTCTTTGGTCATGTTTTTAAATCGTTATAATTTTTATGTACGAAAATACATGTTAATAATATTTTTAGTGTTAAATGTAATAATAAATAAATTTGAATAATTTAGCATGCCTTCTTCGATTGAAATTTAAAACTGTTTACACACAACACATTGCTGCTACAATTGAGAACAGAAATGGCCAAAATTACTTTGGATGAGGTCTAGGGCTTGGTACTTTTAAAATTCTTGTTTCTCTAGAACAATTTGTACTAAATCATATAGTTACACATGTACTGAGTATCTCATTTGATCTAATATTAGAACTTAAGTTTAGAATTGACCCGTTCATGAAGCTTTTACATGAACACTGAAAATATGGCACACAAAGCTTGACTACCTGTGTGCATCCTTATTATTATGTAAGTTTTGCAAAGGAGAACTTTTAGACATGGTCTATATGCTTTCGGAATTTCCTAGCTAGTTTGGACGTATTATGACTTGTGATTCGAATTAGAGCTTTTCAAAAGACATTTAACCTTAAAAACATGACTTATAATAGTGTTTATCTGAAATATTATAAATACTTTGTTTTATCAATGTTAGATTTATATGAAAGTGACCCTCTGGTCACTGAAATATTTTTCCCCTAATTCATGATGGAGATATAAATGAAATTTAAGGTATGTCACTTGTCAGCTTTTTATTAAAGTTTGGTCAGAACCTCTATGAAAATCACCAATTTCAATTTATTTTTTATAGCATATTTGAATTGAACAACGTAAAATAATTATACAATATGCAATGTAAAAACCGATCACAAATCGTTAAGTAGTAAGATTTATGGTGACTGTGTCTTGTGATAGAATGAAATCCAGCAGAAAATTTTTAAAATCTACACATTTGTTTTGTTTAATATGCTGGAACATTGGCCTTACGTATTTCTACTCGGAGATATTTTATTTCGGAGGGAGGGGGATGAAGGAAATTGCACTCTATAAATGTTACACTGGGCCCCCGGAAAATTGAATCTGGTGAAGGATTTCCGTAGGGGAAATCCTACTCTAGAGTCATTTTCCCGTGGGTGAAATCTTACTCTACAGCTTATTTTCCGGGGGGGGGGGGGGTTCCTACTCTAGAGCCAGTTTTCCGGGGGGGGGGTTTACAGGGGGAAAGCCTGCTCTACAAGGCCGGTATACCAAAACATGAGAATAATTTAAAACAAAAGATGTGCAGCTTCTTTTGAGTTTTTTTTTTCATTTTATTACACATATTACCTCATCCTCAACTGTGAGGTAAAGTATTCTATACTGAATATCAATGTTTAATGAATTTTAAAGTTTTTCATTAAAT